AAGGAGGGGGCTTTGTAGAAAACGAAGCGTTTGAGAGAGGCGGGGCATAGAGGACCTACAATAATGTACAGTATTTGAAAAATAATGTGTTTTTTGAACATTAAAGCATGTCAACATATTCTGTTACACCAAATACACAAAATAATGATCTTTAAAAAAGCATCATATGACCCCTTTAACACATGTTAGACTGCACCCCATAAACACAATCAAGCTTAGAAAAAATCCAGTCAACCACCCCTTTAATATTAAATGAAAAAGTGATATTTTGACCCACTAAAGTTGGACTTAAGTACATCTTTATATGTAATTTCATAATTACTTCTATTGTCTTTGAAATATGGTTAGTGTACTGCTGAATGTACTGACAAGCTTTTATTGTAAACTAAAATATACTTTAATGTCATTTCTATTGAGACTTGTATGTGATGCATTTAAAATGTATTGCAATTTAAAATATATTAACATTCATTGAAATATCGAATATCACATTACAGTTAAATGACTTAGCATGAGCTTTGCTTAATCGACACATCAAAATAAGCGTACTTATTTAAAGCACTACAAAAGATTATTAAAATATAATGATGTTAAAGGTAAAGTAAAACTTTGAATTGGACATTACAAAGTGCACTTTTTAAAAGTGTACTTAAGTGTGTCAAGAAACAGTCATGAAAGTGTACTCTCTTTAAGTACACATAAGTGGCATTATACTCCATTAATATTATATTATGTGCAAGTACAGTTTTATATATAAAAAAAATACTTTTAAGAATTGAAGTACACTACAAGTGCACATTCAATACAATTAAGCACACTTATTTTTCACAGAGACACTTGTGATGTCAACTTTCTCGTTTGTTAACGTGGGCACCAAAAAAAAAAGGTGCTACTGCTTTTTATGGTGTGACTCAGGCATAATATTTAATAATGATCGGCAACATAAGAATGGAGAGCTTTTTAAATGAAATCAACCATGTATTACTGTTTACCTGTTTGTAGTGCCTGCATCTCTTTCAGGGATTTGACTTCCTGCCACAGTTTGTCAATCTGTGTCCTCATTTCATCATCTTCGGCAGCTGTATCTCAACAGAAGAACGACAGCAGAGGTCAGATCAAATCAAAATATTCAATACATTCCAAAAGCTTGATTGTATCTAAAACAAGAGTTCTGAAAGATTTGTTGCAGTTGAGGATAAACATATATTACTGACACAAAAGATACCTCTCTGTCGAGCTGGAAAGAAGCCGAGACTGTGCCATGGTCACAGCTGAGAAGTCCCAAATACAGACGAGCTGTGCAAATCACTGAGAAAAATGTGGACAAGTCTTACAGTTTTCTCCCTTTTTTACTATCAGGCTATTGGTTGGACATTCTGTGTTTTTGTGTACCTAAAGGGAATTGAATTGCACCTTCAGTGCAGTCACAACAACCATTCCCCTGTTTCCAGCCATTCATAAATATTTACTTGGGAAGCACATGAAATTCATTTGGGAGTTTTCCCATTCATAACCCAACAAGAAAATTCATTCAAGCAGGGCTGAGCCTGGTCAGTACCTGGATGGGAGACCTCCTGGGAAAACTAGGTTGCTGCTGGAAGAGGTGTTAGTGAGGCCAGAAGGGGGTGCTCACCCTGTGGTCTGTGTGGGTCCTAACGCCCCAGTATAGTGACGGGGAGACTATACTGTCAACAAGCACCGTCCTTCGGATGAGACGTTAAACCGAGGTCCTGACTCTCTGTGGTCAAAGAGTAGAGGTGTGACCTCGGCATCCTGGCCAAATTTACCCATTGGCCTCTGATTATCATGGCCTCCTAACAATCCCCATATCTACTGATTGGCTTCATCACTCTGTCTCCTCTCCACCAATAAGCTGGTGTGTGGTGGGCGTTCTGGCGCACTATGGCTGCCGTCGCATCATCCAGGTGGATGCTGCACACTGGTGGTGGATGAGGAGATACCCCCTGACAATGTAAAGCGCTTTGAGTGCCTAGAAAAGCGCTATATAAATGTAATGAATTATTATTATTATTAAATAAACAGTGCTTTATATTTTTCAGGTAATTCTAACAGTATTCAGGTACAGAAATTGAATAATCAAATGTAAAATAACACTGCGTAGTCTTCACTGTATAAATGAAATCTAATAAATCTGTTATAAAGCTACAAAAGTGATTTTTCTCTGCGTTTTGTTTAAAGGGGTCATATGATGCTTTTTTAAAGATCATTATTTTGTGTATTTGGTGTAACAGAATATGTTGACATGCTTTAATGTTCAAAAAACACATTATTTTTCAAATACTGTACATTATTGTAGGTCCTCTATGCCCCGCCTCTCTCAAACGCTTCGTTTTCTACAAAGTCCCTCCTTCAGACAAGTGCAGTCTGCTCTGATTGGCCAGCTGACCCAATGCATTGTGATTGGCCGAACACCGCAAGCAAAACGTCGGAAATGTAACGCCCCTTACCATAAACGCGAGCTTCATCTTTCAAAATAAATATAAAGACAG